ACATTTGAAGGAAGTAAAATCTATTTTTGATGAGACCCGTATGCATATTGCAATCTCTCCACTCATTTTTTAGTTTATTAACATTGCACCAGATGTTTACCTCCTTTTAGGACCAATTAACATACCATTGATTTAGATCCAAGTTCATAATTGCCCAACCTTCCACATTCTATGATAAATCCTATTGAACATGCTGATCTTAAAAGACAAGTTGAAAGCTTACTTAGGAAGGGTTTTATATGTGAATTATCTTAGTCCCTATGCAATTCTAATCTTATTAACACCTAAGAAAAATGATACGAAGGATGTGTATTAATACTTAAACCATCAATAAAATTATTGCCAAGCATTAATTTATTATCCCTCAATAGGACGACATGTTAAATTTAATCCCAAAGGAATTTTTTTATTAAAAATTAATATAAAAGTGTTTATCATCTGATTAGGATTTGTTCCGGAGATGACTAGAAAACAAATTTTAAAATTTTTAATGAATTCTATGAATGATAAGACTTTGAAATGCCTATAGCACATTTATGAGATTTGATGCATCATCAAAAATTGCCTTAGTTAAGCATGAATCTCAAGACATATTTGAGTTAAAAACTTTCCAAATTTAACATGAAGACACTAAAAATGATCCAATTCGAGCCTAAATGAGGCCAAATCGAGGGACTAAAATATAAGTAGAAACTTCAAGACATTACTTGGATGACCAAACTATCTCAAAATTCAACTTGCATATAATCAAATCAGGTGTCATGATGAGATGAAGCTAAAGAGCCCAAGACTTCTCAACTCTAACATCATTAGGGCACTCATAGGAAGAATGAACTTTTTTATGATCAAGAGAGCTTTAACATTGGCTTGGGATTGAAAAGAGCTATGAGACTTTAAGAAACTCAGAGCATGCACCACAGTCGAATCATCACTCAACCATTGTCATTGACCTCCATTGCCCACCAACCACAGTCCTTCCAATCGTTGTCACTTGCTAAATATAGTTCTTAAAATCATAGTTGGTTGACTATGGTCCTTTTGACCTTCATCACTTACCAACTACAGTCCTCAAAACATCATCGACTGACTATGATCCTTCAACATCTGTCGCTTTCTAACTATAGAATTTAAATCTTTTGAACTATGGTGATAATTGGAATTTGGACCTCTTACAATTATTTCTCAACATGCAGCTCATTTATATCTTTCTCTCAATACACATCCACCATGAACCTGTAATAGATAAGCCTGAGCTTATCATTGCTCCATGGAGCTTAACTATAACATCAATGGATTATGTTACTACTTTCTCAGTTGTGCTCAATGCCCACATTAGCTACAATGCCTTGAGCTCCACCCTCAAGAGAAGTTCTTTTGATGGTGGCTAACTTGTGATGCCATCTCTACCAATGTGTGTCTATACTGTCAACGCCTCTCTGACTCAATTTAATGCTCTTTAGGCTACACATAACATGAGAATCACATCTTTATTGCAAGATCCAAGTTAACTAAAATTATTAGCATTCACACTAAATAAGGACTTAACATGCCACCCACTCCCATCCTTTTTGCTCATCTCCAACTCTTTAAAGATTATAAGGACCACAAAAGGTACATTTTGCCTCAACTACAATATTGTTCACCAACTCTGACATTCTAGAAATGCTAAAGAGCATTGTCACTCATTTGGAAGCCCAATTATGTTGGTTGTCATAGTCCTAAGCATTATTATTCAATCACACAACTTCCCCATTTTTTTATCTTTGACACACTAATCGATCCTTTGAGTTGTATAATCATCTCCATTTGTGTCCCCCTCTCCCCAACATCCAAATTGGCTTAAAATCAATGTTGATGATGCTTGTTTATCCTCCTTCCAAGCGGGAGTTAGTGTTGTGCTTTGTTTTGAATATGACAACTTTAGAAAGGCTGTAAAAATGCAATTTCAACATTGGGATAGCAATCAAGTGGAGCTTTAATCAATCCTCACTTTAAAGATTCTAAATGAGCCATGGACAATTGATTTGAATGGAGTTGTTGTTGAAAGAGTTAATGCCAGTGTTATTGCACTTGTACAACATATTATGGAGAAAGTTAAATGAGTGACCCTTCCTCTCTTAATCCAAGCAAGTTATTTTCTATCAAAGTCCATGGTCTCACAATAGAGTTGTAATGCAATTTTTGTGGAATGATGTCTATAGTGATAAGCGCACCCCCCCCCCCCCCCCCCCCCCCCCCCTCTTCTTATTTTGTTGTTTTGTGGGGGGAGGATATTCATAGCGACTCACACATAGTTATATTTGTTTACTTTTTTCCATTTTGATTAATGCAAATGCAACTTTCAAGACTACGGACCCCTAACTACTATTGCTGAACTTCGATCCTTCCGAACATTATCGCTTAACTACGGTATGTAGACCATAATCATCCAACTACAATTCTCTCACAATTATAGCCCGACTATGATCCTCCTACCCCTATCACCCAACCACCATTCTTCCGATCTACCACTATAACCCAATTATAGTTCTCCAGCCTAAGTTACCTAACTATAGACTCAAACTATCGTCGGCTAACTTTGGTCATCCAACCACCGTCGCCTAGCCATTGTCCTCCGATCATCGTTGCCCAACTATGGTCCTCAGACCTCCATCTCCCAACTATGACCATTTACGCTACCATTATCCAACTATGATCCTCTAATCATTATTGCTCAACTATTGTCCTCAAACCATTGCCTGACTATAGTCATATGATCATAATCGCTCAACTATGATCCTCCAAATACCATCACTTGATTACGACCCTTTGACCATAGTCACCCTCAAATTATGATCATTTGATCTCCATAACATACTAACTATGATCCTTTGACCTATATTGCATGTCATATACTATCCTTCAACTTCCATCATCTACCACTATGATCATTTCAACTACTATCGTCCAACTAAATGTGACGCCACATAATCTAATTTAGAATTTTGTTGTTCTTTATATAAGTTATTGAATCCATGTATTTGGGTGTGTCACACTAAAAATATTAGCAACATAATAAAATTGAAAAGTATTAATTAAATAATACTTAAATTAATGAAAAAATAATAATTATTGCGATCCTATGCGGAGGGCATAGGACAAGGGAACATACCACAAGACAAATGTCTCCCACGCGTCCCCACCAAAAAGCTGGCATCCATTCCTTCCAACTTGACTCATTGCTTGCCCATTGCGTGGCCGTAGCGAGACAGCGAGAGTGAGAGAGTGAGTGAGTGAGATGAGGGTGGCCGGCGGCATCACCGGCGATCTTTCATGTCCTCCATCATGGAAGAACTCATCAGAAACATTCGACGAAGCCGATCCTCGAACTCCGGCGCCAGCGACGGCGGTTGGGAGAAAGAAGACGGCGGTGATGGGCGTTCGAGCATGGCTAGCCGTGAACTCTACTGGGGAAGCGCGAATGGTGGAGGCTGGAAAGCAGGCGATCATGAGGCGCACGGGGCTTCCGGCTCGGGATCTCCGCATCCTGGATCCCCAGCTCTCCTACCCCTCCACCATCCTCGGCCGCGAGCGAGCCATCGTCATCAATCTAGAACACATCAAAGCCGTCATCACCGCACACGAGATCCTCATTCTTAATTCCACGGATCCAACCGTTTCACCCTTCGTCCACCAGCTACAGCGCCGCCTCACTCTCCGGCAGGTCCGCCAGGTTCTGTTCTCTTAGTTTCTCAAATTTGGGATTTTTTTCTTGGTCTGTTGATTTTGCTCCCATAAGTGTTTTTAACCTGCGTAGAAATGTCATCGGATTTCTTGCTTTTTTTGTGCTTGAAATGGTTTTTTATTTGAAAATTTTCCTGGCAAGATTTATTTTTTAATCTTCTTCTTTATATATATTTACTCAATTAATTTTTTTGTTACAGTTAATTATTAATTGATTAAACTGTTATATATTTCTTTTTCTTTCTCTTACTGAGTGGTTAAGTTTGGTAATTTATTAAATGTTGTTGTTTTGTTTTGATGCCCTAAAAGATGGAAGGTGATGGAGGTGGGAGTGGTGATGGGAGCCATTCTTATGATCTGCAAGAGATCAGAACGAGTAGGAGCCCTCCTGAGAACTCTGGGAATCTGGATTACTCCGAGGAAGATGATGACCTGTCTGAAATGGTTCAAAAGGGCAAATTGAAGGAGGCAGGAGATTTTTCAAATTCCAACGGTCCTAAAGTTCTTCCTTTTGAGTTCATTGCATTAGAAGCTTGTCTTGAAGCTGCTTGCAGTTGCTTAGAAATCGAGGTAAGAAACATACCGTTGGAATCTTTTCACCATTGCCATTCTTTGCTTGCTAAATCACAGTCCATAAACTAAACAATTAAGCTAAGTTTTTAAAAGGAACATAAAACATGGACATAGACAGGTGCGGATCCAGCATTCTTTTTTTAAGGTGGGCAAAAAAAAATAGGTGGGATGGACAAAGAT